ATTAAATAGCTGCTTATTTCTTAAAATGTAGTTCCATATCTTATGGAAGTGTGTAATGATGCTATAGGAAAAAAACTACCTGTGTTTCTTAACAAGTGATCCAAGTTTCTTTGGATTATAAAGTTTAGAAATAATGCATTTTGAAAAGGGAGTGAATAGTGACAAATGAGTTTGAATCAACAGGAAGAAGCAGGCTTGAAGACTAGACTAGGAAGATCTTATGAGCACATGTATGTGCTAGTAAAAATACTCTAGAAGTCATTGTTTCCTCCAAATGTGGTGTGATTTATGTCGTTCCTGAGGTGTGCTGGATTTTCTGTGTATCTTGAAAATGAATTGTTTTGTCATGGTGTTTCCCTTGAGAGGGAAACAATCTCTGTGCAAGAATGCCCGAGCTGGTTGCTTTGATTTTTCTGGCCTTTTACCTTTATGTACTGTGTGATAAGGAAGAATTTGACCACTGGTAGCTGCCTTACCGTAGTAGCAGTTAAACAGCAGGTCTCAACAGCATTACAAAATGGGTTTTGTGTAGCCAAAATGCTCTGCCTGGATAGTTACTGTGTCTGTTACTGAAAACTGATCTGTTGCTGTTGCTATATCCATGTTGTTTTATATGCTTTCCAGCTTAGGTAAGGAATATTGGGACAGCAAATACCTTAAAACTTCAAAACTGGAAATAAAAGGTGTGGCTAACTTCACTGAAAGAAGTGAATCTCATGAATGAATATGTCTTTAGCACCTTTGAGGATTGGCACAGATGCTGTAGCTTTGGCCATGAACATTGCAAGGCTTCAGCTGTATGACACGTCTGTAGTCCCTGCAGCAACATTCCACTAGTGCTTTCAACTGAGTAAGGAGAGAGTAAAAATAGCGATGGTAGACTTTCCATCTGTATCACTCAAAGCTGAAGCCGGGGCGTGGGGGGGTGTGTGTGTAATCAGTATCTTGTGGTCATAATTAAAGATGCTTTGTGATACTGCATAGTTTGTACGTAGTGCTGTCAGCCAAAAGGCATTAACTACTTCACAAAGGCAATTGATACCACTGTCTGTGTTGCATGAGGAAACTGAGGAGGGACATGGCCCAAGCCACAACCGTACGGCTAAGCAGACTGAGCTAGAAGTAACTGTGTCCCATCCTCCTTTGCTGTACTTGCTGTTAGCAGTGTTCCCAATCTCCTCTGTCCCCCTGACCTGTTGGAGTGAGTGAGGTCTCTTACTACTCTGTGCCGGAGTAAGTAGAAGAGGCTGGAGTGTGGATTCTTAATAGGCAAGTTCTGTGCACATAGTTCATGTCAGCATAAGGAGACCAGAGTTGCTTGTAAACCTAATTCTATAAATTGAGGCAGTAATAGAGGGAGGGGTTGAAATTACTATGTTAATAGTAACTGTGGAGTGTGTTGGTGCCTTAGCTGACCTGGCCTGGTTTGGGAAGTTGTAGGGGCAGACAGCTGTACTGCTTGTGAAGATAGCTGGGTTTTTTCTGCACACATAAGAAATGGAATCCATAATACTCATAATCTAATCGTGGGTTATTGAGAGTAGAGTAGGACGGAGTACTTTGCCCGCTGTTAAGTGTGAGTAAGGGGTAGCAGAAATGCTGGCGTCATTTTACATGGCAGAAGCTTCACATTTGTCAGTAATTGACTTCCCTTGGGGAAAAAAGCATGTCTGCCTCTTTTTCCCTTTATTTTTTTCCCCTTGTCAAATCAGTGTTTTACAGATGCCCATGGTAATGTTTTGAATTGCTTCCTACTTTGGTTTTGCTGAAGGCTGGTTTCCACATCCAGTGTTGCCCTGCTTGTCTTGAACACTAATGGACTCCATAGGAGTGCAGGAGCATACCCATAAATTTAACTTGGGTCTCCCTCTCTGTTGGATGGAGCTCTGTTTCCACAGAGACCAAAGCTCGTGTGTTTCAAGGAAGATATTTTTAGGAGCCGCTGTTCAGCTGGTGGAAGGACTTTCTTCCTTAATAGGAGAGCAGATTGTAACGGGATTCCTCTTTTCTCAGAATGTCTTTTGCCTTTTTCTGTCACATTCTTTCCTTTTTTTTCGACATCGCTTAGTTTCTCTTTCATTGCTGCCTTCTTATCCACGTCTGCTCATCCTCTCTTCTGTTTCACTTTCTGTATCACTATTCCTGTTGCACAAGAATCTCATACCACAAGGGAGTTTGCAGTGTCGGGAGGGGACCCAGCCTTTGCTTATGGGATGCTGTACTTTAAAGATAAAATCTGCAGGTCATCGTGTACCTCAGTTGAATGGTGCTTGCTGAGTCACCAGCTGGGCAGCGTTCATGAAAACTCAAGAGTATCACGGAGCCAAGCCCTGGCCTTCAGCTCAGAGAACCTCGTGCGTGTCAATTATTCATGGCCCTTGCTTATGAGTTGTCATAGGTCCTTTGGCCTTGCAATAAATTTTACATGTAGATGGTTCTGCTGATGTTTGCAGTAAGCTTCATGTCTCACCTTCTGATTGATGGCCTAATGGTAAAGGGCATAAAAAGATAAATCTGTTACAGTAACTCAACTGCCTTGGGAGGTTGGACTGTCCCTAACTAAAACAGTCCCAGAGATTATTTTAGTTGTCAGGCAGTAGGAATATGAAGTAGAAAAGACATTTGACCTAATGACAGGCTACAGGTGCTCAGTGTCCTAATACCCTTTTATGATTTGTTTGTTTGTTTGGTCAAAATTGTCACATCCCCCTTCTGCGGAGTGAAATACTGAGTAGTTGTAGCATTTATTTAGTGATGAAAGGCTACTGAAAATTCAGAGATCTCTGGGTTTTTTTAATGATGCCATAGACTGTATCTGGCTTTAACTGGCATACTATGAAATTGAGAATTTTTCTAGGGTATCTATTGCCACAGCAGCAAGGTGTTCCACTTGGCAATATCAGCTGTTTTCAGAAACAAAATAACATCACAAGGCATAATCCAAAGTGAATCAATGTTGAAGAAAACTGTCATACAAAGGCAATTGTATGTGTGGAAGGAATTCTCTTCCTACCCTGCACTATTCTGTTATCCTGTGATTCTCATTCAACCATCTGTTTCTATATACTGCTTAGATTGTAAAACTTCTAGAAAGGTGACTCGACATTTGTCATGGTACTAGAGTTCAGGATGGTGTTGCATAACCTACCAGCGTTAGTATCATTCCATCCTTACGTAAGTGCCACGTAGAGGATGTTGTTCCAGTCCCGTTTTCTTGTATACCTTGGTGTTGATGTGTTTCTGCCGGTCTTTAATACGATGCAGCAGCTGGTACATCAGCAGATTGATGATATGCTGCCTTCAAAGGTACATGCCCCCTCACCAAACAGCCAGAATGAAGTCCGTGAGGGCAAGACTTTGTTCCAAGTTCCTGTTAACATGCATACCAAAATCAACTAGGCTCTACTGTGTGATGGACTGTTTCTAACAGTAAGGGAGAAAAAATTCTCCTAAAAGAGCTTAAAAACATCTTTTTAAAAACATGACTGTGGTGATAGACCACCAACGTGAGCTGCTGCTTGGTTACCGAGAGGATGAAATTTTACTCCAGGGAGATATTTTTATACAGTTGCTTATTCATATTGCAGTAGATGCCAAAAGCACCCTTATGCTCAGCAGTATAGAAATACTAAGAAAATTCCCGTTTCACAGAGGCTACAATTCAGTCTAGTTTTACTTCATCGTAAAGCCAGGCAGTCTTGACAGCCTGTAGTTAGATGATTAGTACTGAATTATTCTTCTATTGTAATTTTAATTATTAACTGATTATTCTTCCATTGTAATTTTCTCTTTTGCACATACCCAATCATTTAGCTGCTTGAAAGTCAAGTACTATCCAGGCCTGCTGTACACCTCGCTCTCAGCTTGGCAAGGAACTTGAAATCTTCCAGGTGCACATTGGGTATAGCCTAAACTGTAGGTTTTGATTTTCATTGTCATAGCAGTGACAGCAGGACTGTAGGCAGTCTAGACTGGCAAAAAGACATGTTCTGCACAGATTATTTTCTACTAGAAATGTATTCACTTCTGCACTCAATTATTCTTTATATGGCTTGCAATAGGAAGTGGAGTTATGCATAGAAGTCTTCTGGGTAAATATTTTATAATTAACTGTGTAATAGCTTTGATTTGCAGTGTTCCTAACAAGTTGTGGTGGCCAAATGCTATTGTGCTATTCACTTCTTCCTAGCCACTGTCGCCTCCTCCTGTGCCCCTTCCAAATCCCTTTATATTTTACATACTTTAAGTAAAAACTGAATTAGTATCATCCTCAACTTTTCTGCAGCTGTGAAACAGCACAGAAGCTGGGATGGTTTTATAGACTGGATGGGAATATTGGGGAGCCATCCAGGACTCCCTATGAACCCTGAATTTTATGGGATGATGTATCTTTATAGTCACAAAATAAGTGTGAAGTATTTTAAACTGAAAAAGAAAAATGAGGAATAATTTGCACTGATCAGTAATTGAAAAAACGAACAGAACTGTCCTGTCAAATTTTTATCCTCTTTGGTGTCTTCAGCTACGCTAACAAGGCAGTTTGGTCTTTTTGTTCCAGCTGCATGGAAAGGAAGGTGGGCAGAGGAGTAACTGTCTTGTTTAGTGGTGGAAATGTTGTTACCCTCCAGAAAATCTAATTTAAATTCCTGAGAGTGACTCTGGATAGCAGGGAAGTCTGATACATAATTTGCTGTGCTGTGGAGTGAAAGATAGGAGGTGTTCATGAAGATGGTGAAGATTAACAGATAAGCTGACATTCCTTCTTTGACGTTCTCTTCAGCCTGTGAAATATTTTGATGATGTACTTTACTGGACTGTTTTAAAGTTTAGACTTGTAAACTCATGTCTCCTAGGAATAGATTTTAAAGAGCTACAATGGATAGGAGGGTTACTTTGATTTTTATCCCTCTCTCCTTTTGTTTGTTTCTTGCTTTTGTGATGTGAAATGTGTCACTTGTTTTGTTGGTGGTTTTTTTAAGCGATGTTTCTTTTCTCTGCAGGTATGGTGTTAGTCCTGAGAACATTATTCTGTATGGTCAGAGTATTGGTACTGTCCCTACAGTAGACCTGGCATCTCGGTACGAGTGTGCAGCAGTAATCCTTCATTCTCCCTTGATGTCTGGATTACGGGTAGCTTTTCCTGACACTAGGAAAACCTATTGCTTTGATGCTTTTCCAAGGTATGTATGAATGCTGCAGAGAGGGTTGTTCTATACTCAGCATGCTCTTCAGGTGCTTAAAAGGGACTAGCTGTGTAACTTTCCAGGGAACTTTATTAAATTGTCACCTGCCTTTTAAACTTCAGGTATGCACCCCTTCTAAATCCAAGCAGAGATTCACCATGTAAGAAAGAGGCTATTGTCAGTCTCAAACTGATGTGATAGCTCAATGAAAAAATAAAGTCTTAGTGTTTACAACTATTTTTTTCTCCTGTGTTATGGGTCAAGTTTGGGGTAATAGCTTAACAACTGATAGTACACTGTTAAGTCCTTCAGGCTAATGACTAACAAATTAGTAATTGTTAACACTTCTAACACCTCAGTCAACTTTGATTTAGAATGTAATAGGATATCATGAAATGGATGTGCTTTTCCAAGCTGCTTGTTAAAATATTGCTGTAGCTTTACCAGATCAGCAGAGGAAAAAGGTATGGGTAATTGCTGCTTTTAAAGGGAGGAAACAAGAGATGGTCGGGGGCTAGGCTGTTAGGCTGGTGTCTTAATTTTTCAGCTTGGTTCTGCATTTCATTTATAATCTCAAGGGAATGCATTTAATGTTTCTTTGCCTTTGGTCCTTGTAAGTAAAAACACTTGTGCATCTCTGGTATGCTGTCCATATAAAATCACTAAAGATCCCAAGACTTGTGTGTGTTCCTCCCTGATGGAGATCATGTAAGATCCTAATGTCTGTGACCAAAATAAAGTAAGTTGCTGTCCCTCTTTTGGAAGATTTTGAGCTTGTTTTAAGAAGCTCTAGAATATTTTACGTACAGAAAACTATATACAACTGATTTCAAGATAAAACCTTTGTAGCCTGGTGTTTCATTTGAAAAGCAATTGCAACAGACCTAAATTAGAGTATCCAAATATTTTGGAATATTAGAGGTCCTGAGAACAGCAGATGTTCCAGGAATCTTCTAAAACTTCTCATTTGACACAGTTTAAATTGTGGGAGAATATGAGAGGGGAAGCCAGCCTCTTTATAGCAGTGTGTATAGACCTGAGGGGGGTGAGAGGAGGCACAGATGAAAAGCTGAGTGGCCCATGGAAGGGAGAAGACAGAGCAGAGACCCGCTGAAGTCTTGTGCAAAGCGTGGCTTTGCACATAAGTGTAGTAGAGATATTCATGGCGTTTGTTATGTTTGTTTTATTTTGGTTACAACAGATTAAAATTAGAAGGTGGGGGAGGCCGTAGATTCGTCTGCCAAAACAGCTAGAAGTAACAGCGACCAAGTCGTAGTGGCTTTCTCACTATCTATGTCCAGTCCCTGTGTTTAGAATTCTTCCAAATAGGTTATTAAGTAATTACATTGTTGAAGGTGCAGAATTTGAAACACTTGTACTCCAACTCATTGATCATTCGTAAACCTGAAGTCCAGTATTTACAAATGTTTCTGTGACTGGGGGGGAAAAACAAAGCATTAAAAATAGCTCTGGTCACAAAAGTAACAGTGATTAACTGATATCAGCCAAATCAAATAACAGTTTAAAAAAGAAAGTGGGAAGGCGGAATGGTGACAACAGCTGTACTGTAGCACTTGAGTATTTTGTTCTTACCCTACTGAGCTGTTCATTGCTGTCAGTCTGACTTCACTTCTACTGTAGGCAGTGAAAATAACAGCAGTGCACTTTTGTGAATGTGTGCAGCTCAACTGTCTGTCTTCACAGTGGGAAACAAAATAGTTCTGTGTGCACCTACAGTGAATTGCTATTATGCGCGTTTTATGTTGGGACTCCATGAGAATCTGGTCTCTGTAGATTTTTCTAGCTGCAGAGCGGTGTGGCTGAGAATACTAAGTAAGTCTGACGTGCAGTTTAGATACTGCCTTACGAGTGGCTGAGTGGGCAATGGGACGCTTTCCAGTTTTCTGAAAATACAAATATTATCTAGCTTAATGGTCTGTGAACATACATGAAAAAGTACTTTTGTTATCTGAATACTGAAGTGAAAGGGTTTTCCTACAATAAATGTTTATACATAATTTTAGTGGCTAGATACTAAGTTCTCATCTTTGTAGCTGTGCATAGCTGACAAGTCTGTCATATTGTGGAGCTTGGGGACAGACCCTTCATGGGCTTAAGGCTTCAGTTTATATAGCATGTTGATTATAAAGTACTTACATTTGGCTATAATATTAAGGATGAAAGCTATGGGGAAAAAATCTGCATTATTCTGATATCTCTCATGTTCTTAGGATATTTTTCTACGTTCGGCATAGTTGCACACAACTCAAGTTCCAGACAGGAAAAGTGAAATGGGCTGCATTTTAATTTTAAATAACACTTTTCCTCTTTAAATGACACGAAGCCTGGTTTTTTGGATAAGTATTGAGACAGACACAGAAATGTGTTTACACTCAGCTGTTTACTGGAATACCAATGACAGCTCTCTAGAATACTATATGCTGAGATTTATATGCATGAGGTTTAGTGCTTCAGTGTACATCTTAATTTTTAATTAACCTTATATTTTCATAAAGCTTCTTTAAACCTGTTTTTAAGTCAGTGTATGTTGGCGTCTGTTTTTCTTAATCATTTTAAGCAGTCTTGATCACTGTAAAATTTCTAGTCTTACCAAAATTGCATGCTTTCTCGTTCTTCAGGAAAATCTGAGCACCCTTTATTCAATAACATAAAGAAATAGACTTGTCCTTCCGTCAAATCAAATATTACTGTACACTCTTTTTTTCCCACCCACTTAATCCCATACTGCATAATGTCCTGAGCCAATTCCTCCATTTGTTGATGTAAGTGGAGCTGGTAGGAAGCTGAGGGGTCATTAGCACTTGGTGTCTATGTACTAAGTTGGAGTAACTACCAACACGAAATGACTGTCTGGAAATAGAAGCTGGTGCCTGCATGAAGACAGAGAAGGCTGTTGTTTACCACGTTTAAGTTCATGTGCTACCAGTACACTTCAGGCCAGAAAACCCCAATTATGAACTCTTAGGTGTGAAGGTGCTTTTGTCACTCTTCCCTTTCCTCTGAACCTGCTTTCCTGTGAGAGGTGGTCACTAGCTATATTGGTCTGCTAAGTGTAGCTGGAACAACAGGAGAAAAGTTTAAGGCCACTTTGCAGTCAGAGCTGGTGAAGAAGTTGGTTTCATGAAGTAAAACCCTGTGTGAGTTTCTTTTCGTTTGCAGTTAAATATTCTTGTGTAACACTCTTCTCTCTGCTTTCTCTTTTGTAATTTGAACTTAAACAATCTGTTCTTTATACTGATTGTTTTTCTTTAGCTGAATCTGCTTAATTTGGGGGGTTAAAGACAGGTTCAAACCTCATGAGCTGAGGCTTTTTTATTGAACAAAGTCTTATGACTGGAATGTAGTGAATTAGTTCCTAATCTGTTAAATTGGAAGGTGATAATGTGTAATGTGAAGAGTCCACACTGGCAGCCTGTCCCATGGACTCTTACTTGCCTCTAGGTGTTTTTTGTGATAGATATGCTCATTGTTTTGGGGTTTTCTTTGTGCCAAACTTTATTTGTGTGCTGCCTATTATTGTTAGAACCAGTGGGATGATGGTGGTGGCAGTGCAGGCTCCTGTTTACATGTGCGCTTTGGGAGTGAGCCTTGTTCCATATCACGTGGGCACAACTCCAATGTTTTGCAGCTATTTGAAAACGTGCAGTGGTGACTGGATCGTGTATCAGCAGTTAAGCTTGCTTGCTTTGATGGTATGAAAGTTACAGCCCCAAACTAAGCTATGTCTGTCTTTTCCATCCCCCAGCATTGACAAGATATCTAAAGTAACCTCTCCTGTGCTGGTCATCCATGGTACCGAAGATGAGGTAATCGATTTCTCCCACGGCCTGGCCATGTATGAGCGATGTCCACGAGCAGTAGAGCCCCTCTGGGTGGAAGGGGCTGGGCATAATGACATAGAGCTTTATGCACAATACTTGGAGAGACTAAAACAGTTCATATCTCATGAACTTCCCAACTCCTGAAGAAGCCTACCTGATTTTACCTCAGTTACTGTGAACAGAAGAAATTACCTGGTTTTGCACATGCTTTAACTGGATAGCTGTAATAGCTTTATACTATGAAGAAATACCCTGTCTTTAGGGTGTTCTAATCAAACATCTGATGAAATTTGTCTTTTATATCTGGAAATTATTCTACTAATGCACACAATTATGGTCAACTACTGTAATTCCAACAATTTTTAGCTTCGTTGCCCTGAAGGAAGTGGGAATACTAGCTGCTTATGGGGACACTTTTTACCTAGTGCTGTGTTAATCGAAGATCGGTTTTCTCTGTCTCACTTCAGATCGTTTATAATTCTGTCCTACAGAGACTTTTTTTCCCCAGTGTTCTCAGTGTGGAGAACACAACTGTTATGAGCTACAGCTTGTTCCGAGCAATCAGCCGTGGGTTCGATCTAAGGGAGTACTTTCTCTGTAAAGTTTCTAGCTGTGGTATTGTAACTGGAAAGTTATTGTGATGAAGTTTCCCCCCCTCCCTTCTAGTGTTCTTTTGTTAACTTACTGATCTTCCCGAGTAAATTATTTAAATATACTTTTTCCTGAAAATAAACTGTATGGGGCTAAACTCTGTAACGACCACTCCATTACCTGTATAAGCATAACTGGAATATTCTTAAAGGAACTAGGGACAAAATTGCTTTTGTTTAAAAATAAATGTGTAAATTTACTACTAGAAAACTCATTTTAATATTCAGATGGTCTGAATAATAGCCATAACAGACATTTCCTTCTGTAAAGCATTCCTGTAGACTTTTTAAAAGTACTGTACATATTTGAATTTACATTGTGCATAGATTCTTAATTGGTAGTTTTAATTTAAGTCTAGTTACAATAAACTGCAAAATTCTGGTTTGTATATGATTGAATACATTTTGTTAAAATATGTTTTTATCCCTATATTATTTTGCTATTAAAGTTTTATAAAGTTTCCAGGACAAAAAAAAATTTACACATTTATGTTTTGATGAATTTATGTAACTAAATTTTCATTGAGCTGATCTTTTTAGTTTAAAGTAATTTGATTCTTTGACACTGGAATCGCACAAATTATGCATCAGAAATGCAAGACACTTAAAAATTGTTACACTACTAGCATAGGTCTAATTTTTCCAAATTTAAAGGCCTTAAATGTACTGTAAGCCTCAGATTGTTGTATAAATTGATCGCGATTGATTGCAGTTTGTGTCCTGTTGCTAGAATGCAACACAGTGATTGTAATGGAATAAAGGATGCATGGATTAGAGCTTGCTGAATTTTCGAATCTTATTTGGCACATGATTTTCATACACAAGGAAAGCGTAAAGCACAGATTACGTGACAGAACAGCTGGAATTTCATTATTTATTTCCTTCCTTTCAAGGAAAACTCCCCTAAAGTACAAAGCCACGTTTCCGTGAAGCTTGATATGTAAATCCAAAAATGTAAAAGAAATTGCTTTTAAATGGTGTTCAGCTGGTTTTAAGTAATGAAAAATCATGATTCATTGCCTAGAAGAAATGTTTGAACGTAGTTGTCATGGGTCCTTATAACAGGCCTGCAGTTAATTTTCAGCACAGTAAGTGTGTCTATTGTCTTTGACTATTGACTTGGCCCTATTACTGTAAAAGGAGAAAAACTGGTATTTTCGCTTACGGTGGGGGGAAATGAGGACACCCATCCTGCTCCACGTCATCTCGATCCTTAGGGTTTGGGTCTGTGCATCTGTGTTGTCCAGTTGTGAATTTTAACTGTCACAGGCAGCAGGGCCCTCGGCTGTTCTCTTGGTGACTCTTCCAGCCAAAATTGGCGGGTTTTGCCTTACCACCTCCAGCTTGCTGCTGCCCTTCTGTATTTTAAATACATAGTCAGATCCGTGTCTCGTTTTATTTTGCACCTTCGTAAATCCACAGTGGATTTTCTTCTGTTTCTATATGTGTTTTTCCTGAGACTATATCCCTGTGGAAACAAAGCTGATGTCAGTGCTATTAGGTATTCAAGATAATGTGTGAAACTGTAAGCTTGTCCATGTAGTGACTTGGAGAATTTTTACTTGATTAGGCAGTGTTTTACGTTGGACTTTGTGTTGCTCTGAAAACTTCAGCCTACGATGTTTCTTTTCATCGTGACCCCTTGTAGCTACCCTTCCACTTCAACAAACTGATACTGTTAACCTTTTTCCCTATAAATCGATTTTTTTTTAATTACTGCTTTTGTAACTCCTGCAGTCATTTTGTGACTTGTCTTTGCATTTGCTTTGCTTTTTGTCAGTATTCCTCTGTTAATGAGAACCCCGAATCTGAATTCAGCATTGTCATGTATGTCCTGTGGTCTCGGCACCTGCAGCCCGAGTTCACAGTATTCACATGGCTGAACATGAATTTCCACTTGTACTATCTCGTATTTGTCTAGATTCCTGGGTAACTTAATTCTCAGGGGTGCCTTGCTGTTCTGCTGCCTTCTGTGTTGTCTGTTTTGCTTTGTGAAGTTCGTCCACATTTAACTAACACAAATGTTTTGCTGTTGATTAAAATGGTAGTGACCTGTCAGTGATGCACTGGCATGGATCTTCTTCCCTGTCTTTTAATTCAATAATTTGTTTACCTGTTTGGTCCCTTAAATAATTTTCCTTGTAGCCCCACTTCCATCCGGTAGTTCTTAAATGAATTCTGAAATTTTTATAATTTTCTGACATATCCTTTAAACAAAATAAATAGCAGTAGTGGGCTTATTTATATTGTAAACTTGTATCAAAGCATCACAGTTTCAGGCATTGCAAAGCACTACTGTTGATCAACACTAGAATTATTAGTTGAAAAACCCTGTGGCCAACTCATGAAACTACTTACAAGACGGTGGATTTCAGGTCCCCATTTGTTTAAAGAGGTTAGAACAGAGTTTTTTAAATGATGGGGAAGGGGGATTGTGTGAAGTTGTGAAAGAGAAACTTTGGGCTAAAAAATGGTCTGTTCCAGCAAACTGCTGATGTTCTCGCATTTAAATGTATAATGTGGGCTTTACAAGAACTTGTTATGCATATTTTAGAGCTACCAAGGTGTTGCTGTGAAAAGGGCTGGCTGTGCCCGGATAAATTCCGCAATGGGTCTTCCATAGGTGTAAGTGATCACTAACGGGTTTTTTCTTGTTGTGGGTGCTCTATCTGTTTCCGATGTGACCTACCATCTTTGTTCGTGTGGTACAGCCACAGATGATGTACAGCTTTTTTTCAGGAAGGTAAGGTGGCATATATGGTTTTCTGTTGGTAGTTGTCTGGTGTTTGTACTTTGAAAAAGCCAGAGGAAAACACTTGCACAACTTTAAAGGTAGTGTTTTCCAAGGAGTTTGATATGGATCCTTTTTAACTTTATGTAACTGTTACAGATTTAACTTGTATTCCTATGGAGGCCCGTTACCTGTGTTGCCTCTGCTGCATTTTTCTTCTGTGTTCTTCCATGTCATTCCTGTAACTTGTGGTAGCTCTGCTCTGGGCGCTGAGCCTTTAGCTTTCTAAATGCCCAAACCTGTATTTACACTTAGCATTGTAGGCACTTTTTATAATCTCTGTATCCTATTTGCTTTTTCTAAGTGATGCTAAACATAGAATCAGACAACCAATGCACTCTCTTCCTCTGGTTATTCGTTTAGCCTCGATTGTTCTCATTTGGAAGTCTAGGTCTGTTCTCATGAATGTAAATTAACAATCCATTTTGTAGAATCATAGAATGGTTTGGGTCAGAAGGGACCTTTAAAGGCCCTCCAGTCCAACCCCCCTGCAGTGAGCAGGGACACCTTTAGCTGGACCAGGTTGCTCAGAGCCCCGTCCCACTTGATCTTGAATTACCGTTTGTCATATTGCAGCAGGCCCTGCTAAAAAGATTGCCCCCCCTCTTACAGGCCCCCTTTCAGCACTGGAAGGCTGCTTTAAGGTCTCTCCAGAGCCTTCTCATCTCCAGGCTGAACAACCCCAACTCTCTCAGCCTGTCCTGACAGGGAAGGTGCTCCAGCCCCCTGATCATCTCCGTGGCCCTCCTCAGGACCTGCTTGAGCAGGTCCATGCATGTCTTGTTCTGAGGACCCCAGAGCTGGACACAGCACTGCAGGTGGGGTCTCACCAGAGCGGAGCAGAGGGGCAGGATCCCCTCCCTTGACCTGGTGGCCACGCTGCTTTTGATTTCTCTATATCCTTCTTTGTGGAATTCATCCACTGTTTTAGCTCTGAAACGTCTTGTGCTGCAAATGCAGTTGTTCTGTACTCCTAGCGCTAGTTAGGGGTAGGGTGGCTCTTTGATGGTGGGTGCTCCGCTATTGGGAGTGAGGTCAAGCACAGAAACTGCTGCCTTAGTATTTGTTGCTTTCAAAGTCTGCCAGCAATTTTTGGATCAGATGGGTGTAAATTTCCAAGTAGGATGTTGTGTTTCAGCTGTGCAATACGTGGGTCTTGTAACTTCACTACAACAGTAGAATGCACAAGCTGGTCCTTAGAGCAGGAGAGTGGGCACTGCTTCTTTGACACTTCTTTGGCACCATCAGCTTTTGAAGCTGGGTGCCTGCAGTAACCAAACTAATTTTGCAGAAAGTGTCGGAGTAACGTGCCTGCTGTCTTTTTCTTTAAACACAGTCACCTCCCCCCCAAAAAAATATAAACGATGACCCCCCACACACACACACCTTCAGCGTGCAAGTTGTAAGTTGTCTTCTGGTGTCTGTAAAGGTAAGCGTGCTTTGTTTTGGATTTCCTTGCGACCCAGCAGCAGGATGGCAGGCTGGGAGCAGGCACGGTGCTTCCCAAAGTAAACTCTGGGCTCCTGCGGGTCTGCCGGGGAGCGGGCACGTTCTGATCTGGGCCACTCTGTCCCCTGTGCTTGCGGCTTTACCTGCGGCCTGCAGAGCACAGCGGTGCTCTCGCTCTTCTGCTCCCCGTGGGACGTGGCTGAAGTTTTTCCACCCGGCAGAAG